GGAGAGGCGAGCTCCGGGGTTTGAGAACTCAGACTGGGCAAGTGACATGCGGAAGTACCGCTGAAAGCGAGACTCCTCCGTACGCAGCTCCTGGAGTAAATGACGGAACTCTGCAAACACTGCAGCCTCAGTCTGTGGTGAACCCAGGACACGTTTTGTTGAAGCCCTACAACAACGTTATTTTGCTTTATATAACAAATAAAGGCTCGCTGCTCATTGAAAAATCCACCGCTGTCCTGACTACAGGCAACAGAGAAGCTCCTCCCACCGGCGTCAGGCGCGTCACTCGCGTCAAAACCTCCAAGCACCAAAAGGACAAAACTATCCCGGCGTCAGTTGAAGCGCGTCAAAAGCTTTTTGAAGCTTTTGGTCTGAACGCGCCTTAAGATAACTACTAGAATGTGACATTTTGTTGTCACTGAGATAGTCCAGTGGTTGTGTCGATGGACTTCCAATCCAGATACTCGGGTTCAAATCCCAGCTCAGACACATTTTCACTCTCAAAACGGCAATTTATGTGTAGTGAGCTATTGTCACCTGTAGAGTGCAGTATTGTGTTGGGCATCAGTGGAGAGAAGAGAGAAAAGGCAGTCCTGTGGCATAGATCCATGGTTTTCAATGCATGGGCGTAACCCGCTATGACGTCACACACAGGTTAGAGCATAGACAACTTAAATTGATGAAAAACACGTTCTTTTTATAAAATATAGGATTTTTTTTGCCGGAATCTCTTTCAAATTGACATTGTCATGTAATTTTGATATCCACTATTTTTTTTTTAAAAACCCGTCATAAGGTCTTTAATGTGTGAAATGGAGCTCTTTCAACTTTGCCTAATTACAGACCATTACTAATTAACATTGTATATTTACTGTACTGTATGTGCCTTTACCATTCAAACGCACAAAGACTCATTTTACACGATATGAGTGAGTTGTCATGCCTAAGAACACAACAACAGTTTACCGCTTTACAGCGTCGGCACCCCACTGTAGTACCTGCTGTCTGCAGAGCTCTCCCATCACAGTACTAACCAGGCCCTGCTCTACTTAGCATCTGAGGCCTAAAGGTGATCTTGCTTTCACATACAGATGGCGAGATGAGAAGGAATTGTTTACTTGTTTTGAAGTTGTAAAGGATGTAATTATATATTTTTATTGACTTTGCAATCCAAGCCAGCAAAGATCGATACCTAACAAATGTCACTATTTGACTCTTCTGGCTGAGAGACGGTAGTCCTCTTTTTCCACGTTTCTGTCTTGAAAATTGACAGAGGCCAAAAATACATTCATGTGGAAACTTGTGACAGGACCAAACCAGGAACTGTCGATATTATTACATAGATTAAAATAATATAATTCATTTTGTTTATATATTGGCTTCGAGGAGAGCTGCATAGTTTGAAACAGACATAGGTAGTGTCTGCCAGCAGATACAATATGATACTGTACAACCTGTAGTTAACCTTTTGTTGAGTTTGCGCTGTACCTGGTGGGTGTTTGGGAATTGAGAACAAGTGCAAGGAGTCTGCGGAACGTGCACTTGGGAAATTGGAAATGTTATAATTGCTGACTCTGCAGCCGCTCTTCCAAGTCCGTGAGAGACTTAAAAGGCGGAACACAAAATTGGGGCCGTTGCTTATATATCCAGTGTGAAACAAGAGAGCTAAGAAAAGATAATGAGAAAAAGAGGGGGAGGACAAAAGAAATGGTGACAAACTGAGAAAGGAGGATTACAATGAGGCTGTTATGCCTGTGAAATGTGTACTAATGCAAAATCCACTAGACGTATCTATGCAGTGCAGGCGTCAAAAGTTTACTCAAGGACTATGAAGAGGAGATAGGCATTATTGGTGCTTTTTGAGGGATACGGAGTCTATTGTATGTAATGGGAAAACTGTCAAAGCGCACAAACTTATCAAGTAATTTCAATAGGTGGCATTGAAATTACTTGAAACTGTGGCCAAGTGGTTAGCCCTCTTTTTTCTCAGCATGACGTTTTCGGGTTTGAATCCCAGTTAGAACAGGGCCTTGCAGAATGGAGTTTGCATGTTCTCCCAGTGTCTGTGTAGATTTCTACCAATTGTTAAAGTCCTCCATCTTTGGTCCTGACCAAGCCAATCATCAACATCTAGAGATCGGTCACCGGGTGCTGGGGAGACATGCTGGGACCATTTCAATAATCTATTAGTTGCAAAATAAATGATTCACTTGTTGCAGCCGAAGTGATTATAATATATATTCTTTTATCATTGGTCTGTGTAGTGCAGGCTCCAACCTTTGCACTCTCCTCTTCCCTAGTTTTAATTCATCTCATGTCCCACGCCCCCACTCTCCACTCGTTTGTCAAAATCTGGATCCATTACTAACCGCCATTGTTTCAGTCAGTCTTCTGCCTTTGTGGCTCTTTCTGGCCCTGATGAAGACGGAGAGTGGTCATTTAAGACTAATTAGCTGTGGCCTAAACAGAAAAACAGCCAAGTGGAATGGGTGCCATGTCTCTTAGTGCTGGCAAATCAATAAAAGTGTGTACGCTGACCTTAGTACTAAGACAGGTTTTATCAAAAACCACTAAGCACTTTGAGCTGCCTTGTAACTGTGCTATACAAATGCACTTTCCTTACTTGAAACATTCCGAGCTCCCTCTGATGAAACAAACAAACAAAAACAACCCAGAACTGGAGGAAATATACAAAGGCCCTAATATGTACCATAATATATATGGTTGCACATATTAAGTTACAAAGGTTCATTGGTTAATTGATTCCCACTTAGTTGAATAAAGAAACAACAGACCAGTGGCGTTTGAGTTGTTTACCCTGGTCTGGTCAAAACGAATCAATCACACCGCTTATACTATCTCAAATACATTTTAACATAGACAAATATAAATATTAATTATGATTAGTATAATATTTCAAATGCAAATGTTGGTATTTTAAAGCAAAGCCAGACCAATAAATTAATGAATTGTAAAATATTAACAAAAAAACGTTTTGCAATGTCTTCTGACCATTTTACCGCATTCAATTTACTATGCCTGTGTTTTTTCTTTTTGTTATCTTGTTATTTTTCTATATTTTTGAGGAATAATTTATTTTCTTATTTTACCGTCTTGCTTTAATCATGACTTTCTGAATTTATGTCTTTACTGGTACTGGGTATAAGTCGCTCTGAAGAGGCGGCTTTAATGCACAAGGCTTTGGCAGTGCGGGTGGAAAGCTGCCATGTTTTTACTGTCACTATCGGCTTACTCCAAAGTAAATAATGACTTACAGACAGCCACACTGATTTATATTGTGCAGTTTGTTTAATACCAGCTTCATTTTGTTGATCAATATTGCACAACTAATGTAATCAATACTTGTCATCTGTTCCAGGCCCTTAACCCAAAATGAGGCTACCACAGAATTTAATTGCCATTTTCCTTGCTTTCCTTTCACCATAAGTATTATTTCTGTACACCAGAGGGAGCCAGTTAAGACCGGTTTTTAACCTGGTAAAGTTTGTAAAGGCTTGTTTCAACTCCATTATGTAAGGATTAAGTCGTCAATACTGTATTGATGTTCCGTTGAGACATATCACAATTCTTCAAAGTGTGGCATTATTCCTGTTCATGTGGGTTAAAGGCAGTATTAGATGTCTTTTATAGCTTGCCAACACTATTGGCAACAAAAATCTGGAATGAGAACGCTTAAATTTGTGGCTTTGATCCAACATTTCTTACTGTCCTCAGGAAACCTGTTCAGAGGAGTTGTATTAAGGCTACCCGGACAGCTGTGTTTTTGCAACCGGCTTGAAAAGCAATACGTTAACATGAGTCTATGGCTGTATCCGAATGTCCACACTATACCCTATTCACTCACTCACTATATAGTTCGGGACTATATAGCGACTGAGTGAGTGAGTCAGTGCACTCATTCTGTTGGCGATTCGGACAGCTGCACACTATTTTTAGCCGCGGCCCACATCACACCCCTGTCACATGTCATTGGATCAATATAATTTTATATATAAATAAAAGTATATTAAAATATCAATATTTGTCTAATATACATGTTATAAAATGTTTTTGCAATTTATATTCATATTTATGAATTTTGGTTGACGTCTTTCATATTCCCCCGCCACCTAACACCGGTGAAATGGCACCTCCACTGAATTTTGCGGTGTTTTTCATAACTATTATACAAGTTATCATAATGCGAATTAAACACCGCCGAACAGAGAGAAGGCGAAGACAGGCGATGAGGGCGAGGAGGAGAATGGCTCTTCTTTCATTAGCAGGGCGTCGTGTAAGTATTGTATTCGTCCTTTGTCTATATAGCATTAGCACCATCTACTGGGTAAATTATAGTACTTACTAATTCAAAATACTATTCTCAGTCAATGAGAAACACATTAGTCATATACATTTAGACATATTTCAACAAGAAAACACATTGTATAGACACACTCACTTAAAATGCAAGAACATTAAAATATTTTATTGGTTGAAAGAACACAAAACCATAGCAAGGGAAATGGAGTAAGTACTCATTTTTTCTAAATGAAAAATGAGTACTTAATCCCCTAGGGCTTCTCAGCATGTACTTAAATGGCCAGTCTGACCTTTAAGAGAATGTTTGTTTTGTTTTAGGGTGAACCACCGGTGTACTGCCACTGAACCACCATGTACCCCTACTCAGCATGTACCTGACCTTCGCCCCGATTTTTGTCTCACTCGAACCACCATCACCCGTCTGGTTAGCCACCTGAGGAGTGCTCATCACCAGGGCTGGAGCCAGGACATGGAGGTTTTGGTCTTCCTTTTTTGGTTGGCCAGTGGCACCGCGTACCGTGTTGTCGGAAATTGTTTTATTCCATTCAAATGCAGGCAATGACAATCGGGTCGTCCTCCTTGGTGTGGGCGAGGTGTTGGGGGATTTTTTGGCATGGGGGTGGTGGTTTACCTCTTGCCGTAGTCCTTCAGCCCATAATCCTTCCACTCCTCAACCATTCATGGAAGATCGGAGAAAAGAGGGAGAGAGCCTTTGTTCGGGGAAAGCCCAAAGTTGGGGGAAGAAAAAGAAGCAAGTAGTGGAAGCCCGCCGCTCTTTCCTGCTTTGTTTCTCCGCTCCGCCTTTTCTCCCGCCTCTCTTCCGCCCGCTTCTTCTTCCGAATGGAATAAAGCCCGCCGCCCCCCCCGCCGACCCCGCTTCCCCCGCTTGCCCCTTCCGCCCCTCACGCTTCTCAGCCCGCCCTTCAAACCGGCACCCATGCTGCCGGGCTCGATTCGCACTCATCACGATCGACTAGTTCTCTCTTTGTTCCATACGACGACAACGGACACTACGCAACGATTCAACGCAACAATCACACGGACGGAACGGGCCAAACGGACGGCAAACACAAAACGACGACGATACGATTCTTGTGTGTAAGGGTAACAGAAAAAAGAATAAAAAAAAGAAAAAAAAAGAAGAAGCGTTTTGTTGGTTGTTTTTTTTTTTGTCTTTGCTAGTTTTTGGTTTTTTAAAGGATGATAGCGTTTTTTTTTTCTTTTGTTTTTGGTTTCATATTATGTTTTTGGTTTTTGGGTTTTTCGTTTTTTTGTGTTTTTTTTGGTCTTATATTTGTATGATTTTGTTTGTGGTTTTATATTGATGGAAATGAACAGGGGGTGGTGTGATGGGGATGATTGAAAAGCAAGGGAGGATGTTGGCGGATTAATCGAAAATTGATAGAGGATCAATTTATTTTTTTTTAAATAAAAGGGCATGCTGGAAAATAAAAAAAAAGTTCCAACACACACAACCCACTTTTCTATTGCATAGTCGAGGGTGACTAACTTGCGCCCCCTCCTGTTGCGCCACCATACTGCACATTTAACTCTGCACAACGATCTTAGCCCGTCCAGCAAAAATACACATTTATATAAAAAATGAAATAAAACAAATATACCAAATGTGGGAAAATAAATGGTGTTCGATCTTATGGTGAAAGAGCCAAAGTGGAAAAAAATGGTAAAAGAGGGGAAGTTAAAATAAAGCCAGGAGGGGTGGAAAGAGGACGGAAAAGCCAGAGGGGGACCCTCTTGACCTGCTGTCTAGCAGGCCAGCCACCACAGGAGGGCTGGCTCTGAGCTGCCCCTTGTGATGATGAATTATCCTGATTTGTGGAAATAAGTTTTGTGGAAAAAGAGACAAAAGGGGAAAAGGAAGAGAAAAAATTAAAGAATAAAAAAATAAAGAGGAGGCCAAGAAACGCAGACAAAAAAGGGAAGGGAAGGAAAAGAAAGGAAGAGGAAATAGGAAAAGGAAAAAAAGGCAAAAGAGGAAAAAGAAGAGGAAAAAAAAGCCAGGCCTGCTGCTGCTCTTGTGCTCCTTCTGTTGTGTGGCCCTTTTTCGCCTGTTGGCCGCTTGATGATCTCTTCTCTCTTCTGCCTGATTCCTCTGCCTGTTGCCTGGCCTGCCCCCTTTCTCTGACTGCTGCCTCCCTTCTCCTGCATGGGATTCCTTCTTGTCCTGATCCTGCTATGAATTTGTCTTGCCTGATCTGATTTGGGCTTGATGTTTGCCTCTCCTGACCTGGATGCTCTGGGGGCCTTTCCTCCTGTATGCTACCTCTGTTGCTTGGTCCTTGATGTTCCCTGCTTTTGATGAATCTGATCTGAGGACTGTGATCTTGTGCCTCTGCCTGCTGTGGATTTTCCTGATGATGCCTGCCCTCTGCCCCCCTGCTGAACTGATCCCCCCTCCTTGATGCAAATGCCTTGCTGCCTGATGATCCTCCTCTTGGCCCCCCCCTCCTCGCATCTCTGGAGGGGCAAAGGCGGCACTCCTCTGACTGGTTTGACTCTTTCTTGCTCCCTTGCTTCTGATCTCCTGATGGATGAGCAGAGTGTGAGAGCATATGAACTGGCTCTGATTTGAACATGTTGACTTGATTGTGCTGAATGTCTGATGGTGGGGGAACCCAAACAGCCGAGCAGTGGGGTCCTGACTTCTGATGGCTTGTCTTTGTACGGGATCTTTGATGTTCTCTGATTTTGGATGCCCTCCTGCACTCTGATCCTCTAGCCAGCAGGCAGAGCCAGGGGCCAGGGGCCTGCCTGATTTGTTTCTCTCTGCTTCTTGCGGCCTTGTTGTGTTGACCTGCATTGCTCTCCTCCTTTTCTGCCTGCCCCTTTTCTCTTTGCTTGATGAATGTTTGATATTGATGCTTTCCTTGCAAGAAGAAGAAAAGCCAGGGGGGTGGGGCTCTGTTTACATGAGCTCGGGAAGATACAGAGGAGCGAGTATGAGAGCAGTAGGACGAGAGAGAGGAGGATAAAGGAGGAGCCGGTTAGGCAGGTGGGCAGTGGGAGAGGGAGTTTAGGGTATGACCGGGGGTAGTGAGTGGGAGCAGGGGCGGAGAAGGGAGATGAGTAGAAAGCGAGAGGAAAGAGGAACAGGAGGGAGAGGTGGTGTGAAAAGACCAGGAATGGCGGATTGAGAGAGGTTGGAGAGGGAGAGGAAGTTGAGTGGGGGAGGGGAGAGGAAAGGTTGGGGAGGTGTTCGGGTGGGGGGGGGAGGGGTGGAGGGGCCTGGAGAGTGGGGGAGGCTAAGGTGGGGAGGAAAGGGGAAGCACGGGGTGAGGATTGTGGGGAAGGGAGTGGAGAGGTAGAGGGAGATTGAGTGGGGGGGAGGAGGGAGGTTATTCTGAGTGAGGGCTGAGAGGGGGATGAGGCAACGTGGAGGGGAAGGGAGGCTAGAGGGTAGGGGGGAAACATGGGCGGGAGATATATGACGGTCAGGGATGGTATAAGGGGGTTGGTGGTACGAGAGACTAAAGGCATAGATGGAGGGAGGAGAGTGCAGAAGGGAGTAGAAGAGGAGCCCTGATAAAAGAGAGTAAGGGAGGGGGAGGGCGGGATGGAAGAAAGGGGGAGTAGAGTGAGGACGGGGGGAGACCAATGTTGAGGGGGTGAGGGGCAGTAGGGGGGTAGAGTGGGGGTGGGAAGAGGGGAGGGGAGAGGAGGGCCCCCCCCCCCCACCCACCCAAGGGAGTGTGTGGGGCGGAAGAGAAGGAGTAGGGTGGTTTATTGTGGGGAAGAGGAGAGGAGATAGAGGAGCGTTGGTTACATGTGGGTAGGGGTTTATCAGAGGTGGAGAGTGGGGGGTGGGGGGGGTAGAGGTTGGGCTGGGGTTTCAGAAAAAGTCGGCCACCCAGCAAGTTTCGGCAAGAGAAGGAGGGGAGGGCTAGGGCAGATTATCACCAGCCGGAGGGGCAGGGGAGGAGTTAGGGAAGACGTGGGTAGGGTGTAGGGTTTCATTTTAGATAGTTTTATGGATTTTCCATTATTTCGTTTTAGGTCGACTCCTTGAGTCTGCTACTGTAGTGTTTTCTTCTTTTGGTGCGTGGTGGTTTTCTTTTGCACCCTTTGTGGTATTATTGTGGTATGTTGTCTTTTCACTTCATGGTTTGTCACTGCTACGCCTCAGAGTGGTTCCCTCTATTGCATTTCTTGCAGTGGTTAGAACCCCACGTCTCTGTTCCTCTAAAACAAAAAAACAATGGGTCTCCCGTTTTTACACTTTAGTTGCTATACCTTTTATTGAAGTATTGGTTACCTATTCCTATGTTAGATTTAGCTTTTTTTTTTTAATTTCTGTTATAGCTGTGCATGTACTTTAGATGGTATGGGATAGTTAGCGTGGGGCGAGCTGAAAGACACAGGGAAAAATGAAAAAAGGAAAAAATCTAGAATATAAAAAAAAATAAGTAGGTATGGATGGCTTGTAGGACTTGAGGAGGGGTTTTTAGTAGGGAGGATTATTGTGTTTTTGTTGTTTGGTTTAGGTTTGTAGGCGGAGTGTTGTGGGTGGGTTTGAGCGGTAGAGGTATTTTAGGTAGAGTGAACACTTTCGATGGTGTTTGTGTTTTCGTGGTACCAGTGTGTAATAGCAGGGTTTATTTGTGGCTGGTGTGTTTTGTGGTGTTAGTAGTGGGGTGTTCAAGGGTGGGGGGGTTGTTGTTGGTTGGAGGTTATGGATGGTGAGAGACAGGGTGTAGAGAGGTTTTTTGTGGTTGTTGCTCTGTGTTTAAGTGGTGTGGTGCTAATGGAGCTGGTAGTGGAATGAGGTGGGAGTATGACCGTTGTTTGCGGTTAGGGTTTTTAGGTTTTGTGTTGGTGGGTAGAGTTATTTGGAGGGGGAGTTGTGGTCTTGGGTTAGGTATAAGGGATGGTGTAGTTTAGGAGGTGTGTGGTTTTTTGGCTGGAGGGTGAGGGATTAGGAGAGTGTTATTTGTGAAAGGGGTGTGGACAGGAGAGGGGGATGTGAGGGTGAGGTCGGTTGGTAGAGGGGTATAGAGGTTGTTAGGGTTGAGTGGGTGTAGGTTGGTTCTGGTTTAAGAGGACAGAGAGTGTAGAGGTGGTTATAAGGTTTGAGGGGGTAAGAGGGGGTGCAAGGTACACTTGGTTTGGGATGTGTAGTGGGGTGAGCCGTTTGTTTTAAGGTGTATTTGTAATGTGACGCGGGTGCGCTAGGGTTGGGAGTAGGGTGTTCGTTAGCGGGGGGAGGAAGGAGGAATCCTGCAGTATGTGAGGAGGGAGTGAGGTGAATCTAATGGGGAGAGGTGGTGGGGGTTAAGGGAAGTTTGTTTGCTTGGCTGATGGGTTGGGTGGTGGTCAAGGTATGAAAGTGTGCTGAATTTTGCGGTTTGTTTATTTTTTTTATGGTGCAGGGAGGGGAAGGGTAATGATGAGGGAGGTTGGAGCATGGTTTAGTAGTTGAGGGAGGGTAGGTGGATGTAGGTGCTGGGCGTGGTTTATGGTGAGGAGTGGTTGTTTGGTGTTAGAAGATGGAACCTAGGTATGGTTGAGGGATGGAAGTGTGGAGGATGCCATGGTGGGTTGGGGGTTGTTAGGTTGGTTTTTGGTAAGGGGGAGGGGGGAAGTTCAGGGGTGCAGTAGGGTTAGTGTGCTATGGTAGAGGTGGAGGTGGGGCAGAAGGGTGGTGTTGTGAGGAGGGGGGTGGGAGAGATGGTTGAGGTTGGAGTGTGATATAGGGGTGTGTTTAGAGGTGACTGAGAGTGTGGTATTGTCGACCGGTGGAGGGTGTAGTATGTGTGAGGGTTTGGTAGGAGAGGTTAGAGTGGTAGGTGGGGGGGGGTGTAGTTGGGGGGCAGTTGGAGGGTGTTGGTGTGAGGAGTTTGTATAGATTGGTAGATGTGGAGTCAGGGTCCTATGGGTGAGGTGGAGTGAGAGGGGGGTGGCTGTTTGTAGTTTTTGTGTTGGTGAGGCTGGAAAGAGGAGGGGGGGGCGAATTCGTTTGTTGGGGGGGTGGGGGGGGGTTGTGGATAGGGGGTTGCAGTTGAGGGGTTGGGTTTAGGTTGGGAATGGTGTTGACTGATGCTAGGCGTGGTGTTGAGATGTGTGGGGGTAGATTTATGTTGGCACAGAGAGGATGAGGAGGTTATAAGTGGGGTGTTTTATGGTGCAGGTTAGGAGCTAGAGATGTAATTGGGTTAGGGTGAGGTGGGGGTGCTCAATGGTGGTGGTAGGCTTGGATGCTCGTTGTGAGGGGCAGTGTTTTGTAGTTTGGTGTAGGGTGATGGTGGGAGGTTAGGTTTGGGTTTGGGGCTGTTGTAGAGTTGGAGGTTGGAGAGGGGTGGTAGGGGAGGTGGAGGTGGGAGTTATGGTGGAGGACAGGGATGTGTGAAACTTAGACGGAGAGGCTGTGTATGCGGGAGGTCGTCGGTGTGGCTGGGGGGGTGGTTGTAGCGCTGGATTTTAGGTTGTGTAGAGGAAAATTAGGTGTGGTCGGTTGTGTGGAGTGCAGAGTGTGGTGTGGGGTTGTGGGTGTGGGATTGCATGTGGTGTTTATGGGTCGTGGGGTGGGGGGTGGGGGGGGTAGGGGTGGATGTGAGGAGGGACGGGGGGTGGCAGAGGAGTTGTTAGGGGTGGGGTTGTTTGTGAGAGAGGGGTTGGGGTGGGAGGGTGGGGGGTGTAGAGGAGGAAGTGTGTCCTGCGTGTTTGATTGGCAGTAGTTGAAGGAGGGAGGGGGTGGTTGGGTAGGTTAGGGAGTGGCCTTTGGTGTTAGGGGAGGTTGTGGTGTGGGGGTTTGGGATAGGCTTGGTAGGTTAGGGTGTTGGGGGAGGTAGGTGTGGCTGGTGGGAGGGGTTGGGGTGGGGGGGGGGGGGGGGGGGGGGGGGGGGGGGGGGGGGGGGGGGGGGGGGGGGGGGGGGGGGGGGGGGGGGGGGGGGGGGGGGGGGGGGGGGGGGGGGGGGGGGGGGGGGGGGGGGGGGGGGGGGGGGGGGGGGGGGGGGGGGGGGGGGGGGGGGGGGGGGGGGGGGGGGGGGGGGGGGGGGGGGGGGGGGGGGGGGGGGGGGGGGGGGGGGGGGGGGGGGGGGGGGGGGGGGGGGGGGGGGGGGGGGGGGGTGGGGGGGGGGGGGGGGGGGGGGGGGGGGGGGGGGGGGGGGGGGGGGGGGGGGGGGGGGGGGGGGGGGGGGGGGGGGGGGGGGGGGGGGGGGGGGGGGGGGGGGGGGGGGGGGGGGGGGGGGGGGGGGGGGGGGGGGGGGGGGGGGGGGGGGGGGGGGGGGGGGGGGGGGGGGGGGGGGGGGGGGGGGGGGGGGGGGGGGGGGGGGGGGGGGGGGGGGGGGGGGGGGGGGGGGGGGGGGGGGGGGGGGGGGGGGGGGGGGGGGGGGGGGGGGGGGGGGGGGGGGGGGGGGGGGGGGGGGGGGGGGGGGGGGGGGGGGGGGGGGGGGGGGGGGGGGGGGGGGGGGGGGGGGGGGGGGGGGGGGGGGGGGGGGGGGGGGGGGGGGGGGGGGGGGGGGGGGGGGGGGGGGGGGGGGGGGGGGGGGGGGGGGGGGGGGGGGGGGGGGGGGGGGGGGGGGGGGGGGGGGGGGGGGGGGGGGGGGGGGGGGGGGGGGGGGGGGGGGGGGGGGGGGGGGGGGGGGGGGGGGGGGGGGGGGGGGGGGGGGGGGGGGGGGGGGGGGGGGGGGGGGGGGGGGGGGGGGGGGGGGGGGGGGGGGGGGGGGGGGGGGGGGGGGGGGGGGGGGGGGGGGGGGGGGGGGGGGGGGGGGGGGGGGGGGGGGGGGGGGGGGGGGGGGGGGGGGGGGGGGGGGGGGGGGGGGGGGGGGGGGGGGGGGGGGGGGGGGGGGGGGGGGGGGGGGGGGGGGGGGGGGGGGGGGGGGGGGGGGGGGGGGGGGGGGGGGGGGGGGGGGGGGGGGGGGGGGGGGGGGGGGGGGGGGGGGGGGGGGGGGGGGGGGGGGGGGGGGGGGGGGGGGGGGGGGGGGGGGGGGGGGGGGGGGGGGGGGGGGGGGGGGGGGGGGGGGGGGGGGGGGGGGGGGGGGGGGGGGGGGGGGGGGGGGGGGGGGGGGGGGGGGGGGGGGGGGGGGGGGGGGGGGGGGGGGGGGGGGGGGGGGGGGGGGGGGGGGGGGGGGGGGGGGGGGGGGGGGGGGGGGGGGGGGGGGGGGGGGGGGGGGGGGGGGGGGGGGGGGGGGGGGGGGGGGGGGGGGGGGGGGGGGGGGGGGGGGGGGGGGGGGGGGGGGGGGGGGGGGGGGGGGGGGGGGGGGGGGGGGGGGGGGGGGGGGGGGGGGGGGGGGGGGGGGGGGGGGGGGGGGGGGGGGGGGGGGGGGGGGGGGGGGGGGGGGGGGGGGGGGGGGGGTTGGATGGGGGGGGGGGGGGGGGGGGGGGGGGGGGGGGGGGGGGGGGGGGGGTCTGGGGGGGGGGGGGGGGGGGGGGGGGGGGGGGGGGGGGGGGGGGGGGGGGGGGGGGGGGGGGGGGGGGGCTGATGTTTATCCCATCCGCTTCACACTCTGCTGCAAACAGACTCCAGTGCATGACATTGCATGCTTCAGATCACAAAAATGGTGGAGGGTGCACAATTAAAAAAGGGCAAGAGTGTAGGGGAAGGCATAGTAATGTAAGTACATATTTTTGCACTGTACAAGAGGGGACCCTCTCTAGTGAAAGTGATCCAATACCTGCTTCTTGGGATAGATATGTTAATAACTTTGCTTGAAATGTCACTCAGTTTGGTTTAAAACATGTACAATCCACAATCATGGATTAATGTATGATTCTAAGCATTTATTTAGTGCTTCGAAGGACCGAAGGAAAAGCAGTTTGGGTTCATGACTCAGAGCCTTATATACGCGGAGACTGGACTGCTAAGTTTTGTTGCATATCCAACATATATATCACTTAAAAACTGTACAGTCATTACTTTTGCACTGTTCCTGTCTTTGTTTGAATCTATACTCTTAGCTTATCGTGTCTTTTGCATTCCTCCTGCACTTAAATTGTTCATGTTTGGTCTCGGATATGTGTCACTTATTGTTTTGCTGTTTGTGCTGAATACAAGTTAATAATAACCGTTTCCAACAAGAACTGTGTGTTTATTCACAGCATCACAGCTGAAATGACCTACGAAATAATGAGTCCATAGAACTTTCACATAACCTACATTAGATTACACATGTAATGAGCTCAAACAGTTTGGTATGTTTTTGTTCTGAAGAGGAGAAAGTAGCAGCTTAAATGGACCACTTTGGTTTCTCAGGGAACTCCTGTGAGATCGCCATCATGTGGTTGGGTGAAGGATTACAACATTTGCCTCAAAACTCTGCAAGGGAACGCTGCGAGTGAACCAGCAACTGCGGCTGCGTTAGGTACAGCGCAACCGCAAACAGCGCAGCGCAAGTACACACTAGGGCTTAAGAAGACTATTAAATTTGATATGATTCAATGCATGTATCATTTATTTATTGAAGCATGATATTAAAGAATATATATTAAAAAATATACGTATATATTTGTACAAAAATAAAACACAAACACAAAAATCTATTACTATACAAAATGTATTTAAAATTGTATAATTTTGTATGTCTAAGAATAACATCTTATATATAGATCACTCACTTTCAATGGCCAATTAGTACTGAAACTGGATGAAATGGAAAAGCCAATTAATAGAATAATCTATATACCGGATCGATAATTACATTTGTGTTAAGTCAACATGTACACAATTTGAACAAGTCTGTGTATAGCAGCTGATGGTAAATTGATAAAGCTAGTCATTCCCAACTGGCCACCATTAAAATTATACAGAAAGATGCAGAGGAGATGTGATGGATTCGATAACAGTAATGTATGGGCCATGCCAAGACAAAATGGAGGCAACAATAAGCAGGAGGGGATAAGAAATGTGGCTCGATAAATATGACACACAAAAGAGAAATGAGGGAATCCGCTGGTAAAAGGAGAATTATTGAGCCAGCGTGAAAGTTGTGGTGAGGGAACCGGCAAGGGAGCAGTAACTGACAAATGGCAAATAGGCAGAGAGATAAGTCAATTCTACAGTGCAATGTGGATTTTTGTCACACAGCGGGCAAATATAAAACACTTTTCACATTGTCCATCCACGAATAAAGATGGCGCACAGACCATGACTAACGGTGGCGCGCTGGGGGACGTGGAGATGGGGTATCTTTCTGCTTAAGTCTATTCAACAAAGTGAAATTTAAACCAACTATTGTAATGGAAATGTACATAAATTAGCAAATGAAAAAAACATACATTGATAGTAAGAGTTTATATGGGCTAACATCATTGTAAAGCTAGTTCTAAAAAAAAAAAAAACACACAATATATTGTTAATAACTCATAATGCAATCAATATCAAAGCAATATGTAAGATTTTCATGTCAAGTCATCATTAAATGGCCCTAATCTGTAAGGGACAGGGCCGTAAAACAGAGCCAGGCCCCGGATTGTGTACACATTCGACCAAAAGGAGGAAGACGCCCCACTGCAGCTTCAAAGGAACAGCGAGGTCGGCCGGAGGACTATCATTGATCATGGGGATTACAGATGCCAAAAAGGGCCATAAAGTCACCACGGGGATAAGCACCTCTGTCTCTGCCTGCCTGTAGAGATCAGAGATCACCCATCTGCTCTCAATCCCGGGGATTCCTGTCCCCGGACACTCTGAGACTCTCCCACGGCACTCTGGCGCCCCCCAGCGGACACTGAGCACCATCACACCCGGCCCGGACATTCTGTAGACCAGCCTGGACCCAGTGTTATTCCGATACGTCTGTACCGCGTCCTACATGTGTGTATCAGTGGCAAATAATGAAATGTGGTGTGTGTTTGTACATGTCTTATGATCATTTGCATCAATCCTGTGTGTTTCCTTTACAAACTGTCTGTTGTAAAGGGGTTTGTCCACAGAGGGCAGGGGCGGCATGGACACGCCCCCTGGGAAGTCAATATAAACACGAACAATGCCATAGAACTTCCTCTTGTCCCATCCTGAAATCACTATTACGGCTCTCCCTGGCCATCGGCGTCCCGCGGCACGTGTCTCCTACTACGGTCGCGCCAGCACGCATCGGGCCTTCTACTCCGCCAAACATACTCTCCTCTGGCTCGGGACCTTATGAACTGTTCAATCACCAGCCTCTTTCCTTGGCTCTGGACTATACTCGTGCAGCCCAATCCGGACTGAGCTGCATACGCGTGGATCAGCAGCTGGACCAACTCGCTGGCTTTGTACCTCCCGCCTGCCAGACAAAGAAACCACGTGGGCTGATTCCCAACCCAAATCCTTTCTCCATCCTCTACGCTCCTCCAAAGTAAGACTGTTCTTGGTAAATGTGTGATTTGAATGAAATGTATGCCACTTCTGCTTTAATGTGACCAGAAATCCCCTTTCGTTATATTTTTACCCTCATTTTTGTAATCAATAAACTCCTTTTCTTTAACTCAACCCCATCAGAGTCGCGTTGTTAGATCTCGGAATATCCCTGGCCGATTTACGAATTAACTACCTTTTAGATTTATAAGACTGACTCGAGGCAAAAGTTGGTTTGGATCTGTCGTAGACCCTCAAAACGTCTACTGGTGCCCAAAATAAATAAGACAGATCCCCCACTCGAATAGGACGGCCAGACTCTGATTGTGAGGCTAGCCGCACTATTCTTCTCATAACATAATCTGTAGTATTATTACCCTACATATAAGTAGCTACCCTACATATATGGTGCCCTGTTTGTGAGATCCGCGCACATAGACCAGATTTATCAAACTCGTACTCTGTGATTGATCTGCAATACGCTAACTTTACTGCTGCTCCGCTCAAAGCGCTTCCCCCCACTCCCGCACCCCCACATCCCCGCTACCTCCGCTGCTATAGTGACTTCAAAGGCAATCGAGCTCCCCTGCGCCCCACGCTTGCGATAAAGCGTCCCGTGCATGCACCAGACTATTAATTTAGTCTCAAAAATCCTGGCTTTTGCACAGGTACTACGCATCTCCTGCAACGTGTCGCCCGCTTGGCCAGCGGGCAGCGTGGAATGTGAAGCCGCTTCCCCTCTGAAGAGAAAGCGCAAAAATTTATTCTTATAACTCCACTGTACACCGTGTCCAGAACACGGGCATACGGATCTACTGTGTCCCTTTGTGACCCAAGTCACACAGGATTCTAACCGAGTATATCTGTGTAAAAGGCTGTAAATGGCTGCTGTGTGAATGTGATGCTATTATTCTGCTAAAGGTGGCTAACGCTAACTCTGTCTCACCACTCTTTCTCCTGCTACTCTGCTGCTGGACATACACACACCAAGACTGTACTGCACAATACAGACAAACACCATCCCACCACTGTGATTACGTGCTTGTGCGAACTGTATAACTCGCTCCAGACTTTCGTGTATAAACTACTGCTAAAACGTGCCACGCTCGAAAGCTAATGGCTAGCTACCCTCCTTTGTTCTAGCATAAGGCTAACTTCCGCCCGGGCCCCGCTAGCCTCAAAGCTAACTCTGACAACGCCGTTGCTCCTACTACTGCTCCCACTATAAGCTGCTTCTCTACCGTTAAAACTAGTACCACTCTGTTTAACCGAACTGCATTCGGTCACCAAAACTCATTGTTTATTGCCTAAACTGCTGCTACAATGTACCGTTGCCGGCAAGCTAAATGCTAGCTACGCTCCTTTGTTTTTAGCATACGGCTAACTTCCGGCCCTGGCGCGCTAAAAGCCAGAGCCGCATCCCCACTGCTAATACCATTCTGCTGCATTGTCTACCTGTTGTCTAACAATAACACCACTTGCTATACTTGCGTACTATCCTATCTCACTCTGATTCTGTGTTTCGACGATCTTAAGGCGCTAGCCGTCTCAGCATACTGCTAAACGAGCCGCACCTCTTTTATTGTCTAACACAAAATTGCTTTCCGGTCCCGGCACTACTTCCGGGACCACATTGCTGCTGTCTTGACACTTCATTCTGCACCCCGTCTTTAATCATCTGTGAATGTGGCTCTACTCGGCACGGTGGCTGAGTGGATAGCACTCTCGCCTCTCAGCAAGAAGGTCCTGGGTTCGAATCCCGGTCGGACCAGGGCCTTTCTGAGTGGAGTTTGCATGTTCTCCCCGTGTCTGCGTAGGTTTCCTCCGGGTACTCCGGTTTCCCCTACCACTAAAAATATGTCCAATAGTTCTAGCATGTGCCTCCTGTACTGGCGACCCCGATCCCATCTCTGTGTGGAGTGAGAGACAAATGCCCAAAAATTAACAATTGTAAACCGCTTTGAGACTCAGTTCTGCAGTGAAAAGGCGGTATATAAATAAATACTTACTTACTTACTTACTTACTTACTAACGTGAAACGGCTTTGCTATACCTCCGTGCTGTTTTGTTACTCCAACTCAATAACCACATTACTGCCACACATTGGTAAAGCTAACACTCTATTTCTGTTTCTCCTCTTTAACGTCA